TGCGTGTGTATGTGTGTAGGATTGGCAATGAGAGTGAGTGTCAGTGGCCTGTGCTGAGCAGATGTACGCGGAGATGAGTGCTCTGTTTGGTGCTGGGCAGACAGTCCAGTCTGCAGTTTCACACTCACCTGTTGGACAGGGTGCTTTGTACGACAAGCGTACTTAGTTACACGCCCACGTAGGTCACATCGTTCCTTCTCGACTCGTGCTCATGTGCCACCTCACTCTTCGTCTCACTCACTAAAATTTGCTTCGACAGGTACACCGGTCCTTATGTACACAAAAATTTGCTTGCCTGATACTATCTAAGGCTCAGGATGGTAGAAAATGTTAATAAACCAACAACGGGCACACGCAATTTCTTCAATCTCAAGTGGAACTTTGTCTTTTCATTCAATAAGTGGGTACATCGTGAAAACCAGCTAGCTGATTGACACTTTCGTGATAGCCTACTTGACTTGCATCCATGATTGCACCACGTAAATGATACCGCAATTGCCTTTGGAGACGTGAAACTATCTAGTGGGGTTGATGCAACGCATTTGTGCAGCACGGATATGATACAGCTGAGTTGGTGATGTATTTCATGCAGAAAGGGCTATGCCACTCCTATTGATTCAGGTGTCAAGCTTCGCGAACTTCGAGTAGCGCCATTTACGTATGAAATTTACCCGCCCCTCGCCATGCACCCTCGCAAGAGTGACGTGTAATTCTCCTTCTGCCGCCTCTACTACACATTATTTTGGCTCTCTACCTCCCACTTCAGAAGCGTTACACTGCTTCTCAGTGATTTCTTAGCAGATTAACAAATGACGAGGAGGCGGCACCATCAACTTCTGCTTCTGCTAAAAATGTCTCAAATTCCTCAGTGCTAAAATGTAGGCGTGAGTTCAGTCGAGTCGCATGTAAATGTCTGGGACCGTGCAGAATGCGTGGCTGTATAATCACGTCTCATTCTTAAGGATGACGATGGTCCGCACTGCTAATAGTCCCTCCTTAACATAGCTGGGATCCCATGCCTGCATTCACCTTCAGTGGTAATTGCTTTCAGCAAATTCATACAAAGATTTCAGGCAAGTAATGTGTTCTTGCTTCTTCATTCCTGCCTTCAGTTTTAGGCACTCGGATGGAAAAGATTGGCTAGAGGTGTTGAGCATCTCAAATTGTGTAATATGTGTAGGACGAATGTTCTTTTCCCTCTCAGGATCAGCATACAATGTTGGATCACAATGCCATATCGGTGGTCTAGCTCACGTGAGCTCGCAGTCATGAAAGTACATTTCGAGCATGTCAGCTGCAAGCAACTTAAATGTTAACATGCTCATCCTACAGTATCTCTCAAGGGCTCAAGCCAAAGGTCTTTTTTCGAGCAGCTTTTCGCCATTAATGGTCAAAATGGAAAGCAATGTTCATTTTGCTTCAAACGAGTTGTCCTCATTGCAGTTTATTTTAAGGCTACCCACGTTTGTGATAGGGAAATGCAGTGCTGCCTAGAGCCAAAATATTCACATTGTTAGGTGGGGCAGAGTGGGACTGGTAGTGAAAGGAGACGGAGCTAGATGATCAGGGTCAAGGGGACTGATTTCTCAGCATCTTCATAGGCATCATTCTTATTTATATTATCATATCTAGCACCATCCATACCCATCCTCCTTGCATCTCTAATGATATTTCTCCATATCACGATTGTCAGCTTCCCTCGACACTACCTAGGCAATAGTGTTGACAGCATAGTGAGAGCATCACAGGACTGTGCACGAAATTCCCCTGCAGAAAGAACAATAGTGCAATAACAGATGTTGAAATGGTAAGAGATTGGCCATTCGCTTTAGGACTAAAGGCGCCTCCTGTGTTCTAAATACAGCCTCGAGGTCTTATCTCCCTAGTAGAGGAGAGTCATTATAACTTACCTCTTTTGCAGTTTCCGTGCTTAATTTCCTCCCCTTTTAAAAGAAATGAAGTGTGCTGTGGGAAACTAAATGGGTCAATCGAGAAATTAGCTATTTGAAATTTATGGCTGCCTC